TGAAATCTGTACATCTCTTCTCAGAATATTTTAAAATAAAATAAAATATATAGAATTTAAAATGAAACCAAAATTTAGTGAAAACAAAGATATCATTTCCCCCCATCTTCATGAACCTACTGAAATCTAACCCTTGACCCCTAAATTATGAACCACCTGACTTAAAGGGTTTGTGTAAAGAAAAATTGGACTGTGGTTGGAACTGACAGAATTACATTTAATTATACTTAAAGTTCTATTTGGGGTTGTCTACATGAATGAATAAATAAAATAATTTTTACATGCTTGCTATGTTCTGGAGGAGCACTGGCAATACTATGTAAGGGTGCAAAGGTTGGTTGGGAGAGTACATCCAGAGTATGTGCTACCTAAATTCAAAATGGATAATAGTCCTTGACCTAAAGGAACTTACTTTGTAATGAGGGAAGATAATACATGTATAGGAGTGTTGGCACAGGAAGGACATTTTTGCTTAGAAAGTTAGAAGGATGGTAAGCTAGTGAGGAAAAGGAAGAAAATGAAAGGAAGCTTGAGTAGGACTAGTCCTCAATAAAGTGGATCTAGTGGTCTTAACAAACAAACATCAATCAATACAGCTGGCTCAGGACAAGAATTCTAGGAATGAAAACATTAAGTCCTCCAAGGCTTGGTCTGAAATATTTCCCTCACTAGATCCTGAAGGAAATGAAGAGTAGTTGGGGACAGTCCTAGATAAAGGATAGAGTTATAAGAATATAGTTTTTAAAATATTGGAAATCGTTCAGGGTCCATAACACAGGTTAAAATATATGATTCCCAGTGTCCATTCTTTAAGCACATACATACATTTCAGCCTCCCAGCTCCAATTCCTGTGATCCAGTGAATGTGATTTCTCAATTTCCTTTTATAAGTTGAGTGGGGAGAGATTTCAGGGCAGGGAGACTAATTAGAAGGTTATTGCAATAGTTTAGGTGAAAAATTATAAGGTTTTGAAAAAATAGGAGTGACTATATGAGTAGAGATGAGGTTTTATATACACATATCATATGATTTGTATGTGCCTTTATCACAGGGTTTATATATACATGTATGCGTGTGTGCATGTATACACATATGTATAAATGATGTTATGGAAGTGAAAATAAAAATATATGACTACTAATTGGTTATGTAGGGTGAGGGAGAGAGGAGTCAAAGATGACATCAAGATTGTGAACCTAGGTATCTGGGATGTTGATGTGGACCTAAAAAAATGGTTGTCTAGTTTGGAGGAGAAATGCACTTGGAGGGAAAGGTAATAAGATCAATTTTGGATACATTGAGTTTAAAATGCAGTTTGAAGTGTCAAATGAGCATTTTAGTTGCTGATGTAGGACTGGAGCTCAGGAGAGATTCTAAAACTGGGTATATCAGTCTAGGAATCATCTACACAGAGATAGTAGCTGAGTTCTTGGAGGCTGATAAGATTAACCTGTGGGAGGACAGAGATATGAGAAGAACCAGAACAGAGACTTGATGGACATCCTCTGTTAGTGAGCATAACAAAGAAACTCTACTAAGCATACTTAGAAGGAGCAGTCATACAAGTAGGGAAAGATCTAGGAAAGTGTGTGAAAATTCTAATAAGAGAATATCAAAGAGCGGGTGGTCAATACTGGAGAAAGTTCAAGAAGGATAAGAATTGATTATAGGCCATTTGACTTGACAATTAAGAACTAATTGGGAAGACCAGAGCTAAGATGATAAAGAAGAACAGCTTAGTTCCCCAATTCAACTCTTCCACAAAGATCTAGAAAACATACCAAGCTGAGTCCTTATCAGGACATTAAAAAATTAGCAATTTATTATTTCAGCCTAGGTCAGCATAAGGAGAAGGACAATGGGGATAGAGTCTGAACAGGTGTGTATTATACAGAATATTTTAGCACACAGGACCTGAAAGATGATCAGGCCTGTGCACCAGGCAAGAAGAAGTCCCAAATTCATCATATAAGTTCCCTGACCTTGTGCAGGATGCAGGAACAGATGCCAACTGACAGTTCTATTGTTTACTATTCAGTTCTGGTTAAGTGATGCAAGGTTTCCTAAGGGGAGGACCTGCACCTAGGTCTAATGTTCCAGAGTGAAGAGACGTCATAGGCCCTAGGCTATATACTGAGCTAGGAACAAGTTCAAAGGCAAACAGTAACCTTGTGGCTCTGACCCCACATAGTCACAGGAATCTCAGCTCCAGCTTACAGCCTAGTCTGAAGCTTTAAGTAGAATAACCAGTGGAGCAACCACAGACCAAAGAGAAGCATATGGTTCTGTCATTCTAAACCTTCAGAACTCTCTAGCTGCCTGATAATGACTGACTCCAGATGCAGCCTATTGGAACTTCCAACCAGTGTCAAGCCCATATTAGTGTCATTTGGGTCACAGACCCAAATCCAGCTCAGGAGCTTGAAGACATCAGACGAGGCAGGCAATTGTCATACTTTCTCTTGTATTACACCACTTTGGAAGCACTAAAATATAAGTCTTCAGCCTAAGTTGTTCCTGACATATTAGAATAACAAGACACTCAATAGCCCAAGAAAGCAGCTGAATAACTGAAGAGGAAAAAAGTCTAGTCAGGATATTCTATCCCAAAGTGCATGTAACCCAGCCCTAATATAAAATCCAAAATCACAAAGTAACCTGGAAGAAGCACAAACAGACAAAGAATCTCATCATAAAGATCTGTTGTGGTGACAGGTATGCTTAAGGCACAAATCCAAAAGAGGAGAATGACTTTAAAACATCTACAAGCAAATCCTGAAAGAAAAACAGAGCTCAGGTAAAAATAAAACTAAAATTCCTAGAAGAGAAAAAGTAGGTTTTTAAAAAAATTTTTCTTTTATTTGTTTTTTGGAGCTAAAATGATTTTTAAAGCCAAATGAGAGTAGTAAAGGAAAAAAAATAAACGAGATCTACAGAAGAAAGATTTGGAAAGAGAGTTAATAGCTTGTAATTTACCCAATTAAAAAACCACTGGAAAATTAGAATGGACCAAATACAAGCTAATAACTCCATGAGACAACAAGAAATAGTAAAACAAAAAAAAAAGTCAAATTGAAAAAAAGATAGAGTATGTCAGGTATCACGTAGCAAAAAAAAAAAAATGACCTTGAACAAGTTCAAGGGAAGATAAATAAAAATCACTGGACTACCTGAAAGTCATGACCAGAAAAAAAGGCAAGACATTAGATTCAAGATATGATAAAATTGAAACTTCCTGGATCCCTTAGCATCAGGAGGAAAAGCAGAAATAGAAAGACTCCCCCAGTCATCTCAAGAAAGAAATCCCCACATGAAGATTATAGCTAAATTCCAGAACCTACAGATCAAAGAAAAAAATACTACAAGCTGCCAAAAATAGAAAATTCAAATACTTAAGACTCACATTCAATACCATACATACTTTAATAGCCTCTACTACATTAAGGAGTGGAAATACAGTATTCCAGAAGGCAAAAGATATATGTTCACAATCAATAGTAACTCACCTAGCAGACCTTTAACGAAATAGAAAACTTCCAAGCATCCTTGCCGAAAAGACCAAAGCCAAGTAAAAGCTTTGAAATATAAAGGAATCAAGAGAAACACAAAAAGCTAACATGAGAGCAAGAACAAGGGATTAAAAAAAGGTAAACTGTTTATATTCCAATATGGAGAGACAGTACATGTATCCCCTTAAAATTATATCATCACTAGGTGTCATAGATGGAGTCTAATTAGACAGAGGGCCTAGGACTGGATCTATTATATTTTGATGATTTTTTAAAAAGAGTGGGGGGGCAGCTAGGTTGCACAGTGGTTAGAGCACCTGGCCCAGAGTCAGGAAGACCTGAGTTCAAATCCAGCCTCAGACACTTATCCATGTGACCATAGGCAGGTCATCTAACTCTATTTGCCTCAGTTTTTTCATCTGTCAAATTAGCTGGAGAAGTAAATGGCAAACCACTCCAATATTTTTGCTAAGAAAACCCTAAATAGGGTCACAAAGAGTTGGACAGGACTAAAAAGACTGAACAATAACAACAAAAAAAGAATGGAAAGGGAAGGGAAGAGGTGGTGAAAAGGAATATATAACTTTAGAGAAATCCATTTGTAGTGAATCATAAGGTTGAATGTCAAATTTTAGAGGGCTTAAAAGAGACTAGGAAAAAAAGGAGGTGTAGATATCTAGAGAAGATGGTCTTTTTAAGGAATTTAACTGAGAAAAGGAGGAGACAGACAGGACAATAGTTATGGTGGGATCAAATGAAGGATCTTTAAAGATGAAGGAGACATAGATGTATTTGCAAGCAGCAGAGAAAGAACAAAGACACAGTAAAACATTAAAGATTTAGAATAGAGAGGATAGTAGGAGCAATATGATGGAGATGTGAAGGGGATATGACCAAGGGTGTATGTCACGGGTTTGACCTTGAAAAGAAAAAGGCCTCTTCATCAAATACTGGAATGAAGGAGGAGAATGTTAAGGTGACATCAAATGCATATGAGATATGAGTTGATGAGAAAGTCTTAGCAAATTTCCTCAGTTATTCCCATGAAGTGTGAAACAAGGTCCTCAGCTGAGCAGGTAGAAGGAAGGTGTTCATATAAAAGGTTAAAAAGTCTCTTGGGCCTGATTCAGGCTTATTCACTTTTAGAAGGACATAGTATATTGAGGTAAATATCATAATGGAGTCAACAAATGTAGCTTGGAAATAACAACATGTATCCCTACTGGTAGCAAAAATATCCTCATCACACTTATCATTTCCATCTCTGTTTAATTGTTTTCAATAAGTGTAGTATTCCTAACATTTCTGAGGTGCAGACAATGCTTGTAAATGCAGAAATCACTATCACATCTTACTAGAAGTCAAAACATTGGATGTATGTTATTACTTTTTTTAATAGCCTGTTTGATTAAGTTTCACACTTTCCTATGCTGACAAACTTGGAATCTTCTACATTGTTCTTTAACTATTGTCCTTTTCTTTCTCCAAAGGAAACTTGTGACATGAAATCTGAGGAACATGCAAATGTAATTCAGCAGCTGGAACAGACAATTGAAAATCTGAGGACCAAAATAGCTGAACTAGAGAAGCAATACCCTACCACAGACATGGAGGTTGGAAAACAAGTGGCTGAGAGGGGAATGGCTGAAGGTGTCTGTCATGAAGATCTTCAATTAAGTGAAGAAGATATAAGACATCAAAGGATGTTGCATGTAAAATCGGTACAGACCTCACCAACAGAGGAGGGCAGTGCATCTGTAATGCCTTTTGCTAACACACTGCCACAGCATCCTCCACTCACTCAGGAGGGTATAAATGGACAGCCAACTGTGCCATTGACACCTTCTGGACCTCAAACAAAGTTTTGTTCAGAGATTTCTTTGATTGTTTCACCAAGGTTAATATCTGTACAGCTTGATGCAAATCAATCCATACAGTGTGTATCACAGCCTCCACCACCTCCACCCCTCCCAGGTTCTGATAATCAAGAAAAGATTCTAACACAGCCTCCCCCAACACCTTTTATAACTGAATGTGTGACCAGCCATGAACATTCCCTTCCCACATCTTTTGAAAATAGTCATGGCATTCTACCCTCCCCACATCTGACTGACAGAGAACTGAATCCTCCCCTGCCTGGTGCAGGTATCCCACCACCACCTTCCCTGCCTGGTGTGGACATTCCACCTCCCCCACCTCCACCTCCTTTGCCTGGTATAGCACCTTCCATCTCCACGCCTGGATCAGGCATGATGATTCCACCCCCACCTCCTGTTCCTGACATGACAGTGCTGCCCACTTCTGTGCCACTACCTGGCTTGGAAATACCCCCTCCCCCACCTCTGCCTGACATGGGGATTCCCCCTCCTCCTCCTCCACCTCCTCCTCTGCCTGAAGTAGGGGTCCCTCCTGCCCCGCCTCTGCCTGGAGTGGGGATCCCTCCCGCCCCGCCTCTGCCTGGAGTGGGGATCCCTCCCGCCCCGCCTCTGCCTGGAGTGGGGATCCCTCCCGCCCCGCCTCTGCCTGGAGTGGGGATCCCTCCCGCCCCGCCTCTGCCTGCAGTGGGGATCCCTCCCGCCCCGCCTCTGCCTGCAGTGGGGATCCCTCCCGCCCCGCCTCTGCCTGCAGTGGGGATCCCTCCCGCCCCGCCTCTGCCTGCAGTGGGGATCCCTCCTGCCCCGCCTCTGCCTGGAGTGGGGATCCCTCCTCCCCCGCCTCTGCCTGGTGTGGGAGTCCCCCCTCCTCCCCCGCCTCTGCCTGGTGTGGGAGTCCCCCCTCCCCCACCTCTGCCCGGTGTGGTGATTCCTCCACCTCCTCCACCTTTGCCTGGAGTGGGTGTCCCACCCCTTCCTGCACCCCCTCTGCCACCTGGATCAGGTCCTCCACCTCCACCACAAGCTGGGAGCAGTACATTGCCAAACATTGTCCTTCCACAAGTATGTGGATTCCTTCCTCCTCCATTGCCAGCTGGCTTATTTGGAATAGGCTTGAATCAGGACAAAGTGAGTAGGAAACAAGCAATAGAACCTTGTCGACCAATGAAGCCTCTTTATTGGACAAGAATTCAGCTACACAGTAAAAGGTAAAACAGGAACTTGAAATGGAGGTTTGATTGTGCTTGGAACACTTACTACAAACATCTGCCAGATACTGTTGTTTCATATACATGCATATATGCTAGTAATAGAGAATGTCTTGTGAATGAGCAGAATTGCATTTTTGTGCAGCTATTAAAACTCGTTTGCAGCTTTTATATTGATATATTGACAAACCAATTTTGGCATTTAAAAAAATCCAGTAACATTAATAAGAGTTATTCCCACCTTTTCTTTTCTTCAAATCAGTCTCTTATCCATACTGAAGTTCTGAGTAGTGAGAAGAAGGAGGTCAAACTCTGCAAGATTCTGAAGGTTAATTGGTACTCTCCCTGGGAGAATGAGTTCCTGTTTCCACGATCTGAACTCCTGTCATGCCCATAATCTTTGGAAAGCACACCACATAAGCATGGAGCTCTCAACTGTAAACAAGCCTGAGTAGATTCTGGCCAAATGAATCACCATATGGGTGCTTTGTTTATTGTATTCATCATTTAGTTTTGCATTTCTGCCAAGAAACTTATAAATATAAATCAGAATCTCAGTGGAATCATTGTACTTCTATGGCAGTGATTTCTAAGGTTTTGGGGATTGTGATAACTTCTCATGTTTGGTTTGATCTTGTAGCACACCCTCTAGAATGAAGTGCTAAATAATATACCTATCTCTGCCATTCACATTTAAACATGTTTGTTTGATTTTGAGAATTTGATGACATCCCAACTGATAATGGATAGAGAGCTGCAAAACCAGGACTGGGAATCTCTGTTATATTCCCTGCTATTTTTTCCCCTTCTCTCTTCACTTTGGTGCTAGTGGTTTGTAAATTGTCCACTTGTAGTCTGGAGTTTATATCCGTGAGTCATCCAATCATTGACTGACTTGTCTGGAATGAGGTAGAATAGGAAACAATGCACTTTGAGGCTTATTAGCTAATTCTTTATTAGAGTTTTTCATAAATGCCTTTTTAGAGGGATATTTCTCTCCTTTGAACAATTTAGCATGCTTGGGAAAGTCTTCACCAAGATGATTTCCTTCCCTTTTTTTCCACTCCCTCTTATCCAGCCCTAGTCAGGAGCTAAGTATATGAGAATATCTGCAGGTATGAGGAGATGTATGTATGTGTATAATGTGGTTATAAGATAATTCTTAACCATTCCCACTTACATATATGTACACATCTTATTTTCCTCTTTACCTCTCAACCTAAGAATAGATTGAGAATACACACATATATATACATACTACACACACACACACACACACGCACACACACACACACATCCTTGTTGATGTATGTACATGATATGCAAGTATAGATCTATGAAGAGACAGAGAAAGAAGAAAAGAAAAAAAGTAATATACACAGATAGACATGTACATTACTACTCTTAATTACAAACTACTTAATTACAAACTAGGGCTGGACAATAAGGAAAGAGATGAAGATAATAGATAAAAAACTAACACAAATTTTGGATGCTTTAAGAGAGGCATCATTTCTAAGAATGGGGAATTAACAGACCCATTGTACTCTGCCTTAGTTTGGCAATGTTGAAGAAGGACACTGATAATCTGGAAAATGTCCAAAGGAGTACCATCAGGATGGTGAAAGGCTCTGAGTCCCTGTTATTTAAGGTTGAGTTTTGATTGAAGAAGAGAAGACTCAGAACAGATGTGATAGGAATCTTTGTGTTTGAAAGATAGTCCCATGGAGTAGAGAATAAATTCCTTCTGTTTGGCACTAGAGGGTAGAACCAGAAACAATGGGTGGAAGTTACAAAGAGGTTAATTTAGGCTACATGTCAGGAAAAATACTTCTTAACAATACTAGCTGTCCAAAATTAGAATTTAATGCCTTTGAGATGTATTGGTTTCCCCTTATTTGGAGGTCTCAAAATGAAGGACCAGAAATAATTTGTCAGTAATGTTATCCCAGGGATTCCTTTCATTTCCTGATTGGACTAGATGACCACTGAGGTCCTTTCAACTCTCAAATTCTCTTCTACTCTGTGCCCAATGAAGACTTCGTTCTTGAGTCTTGCTAAACTATTCAAAGAAAAATAAAAATCACTAAAAACAATCTTTTATAAATATTCCAACAAGTTTCCTTCCATTACCTCACCTACTTCAACCTTTTCCTAAACAAATGAATAGAGGACTTATTCTGGAGTCAGGAAAACCTAGGTTCAAGTTCTACTTCCAATACATACTGAATATATTCTCATAGCCAAGTTGCTTGGCCTTTCAGTATTTTAGGCAACTGCCTAAGACTATAAAACTGCTCTGCAGTCATTAAGTGTGGATCCATTAATGACTTAAATTAGTAAAGGAAGTTTCCGTATTGAAAAGTCCCTACTCAAGTGAAATCACAGTTCTGTACACACACGTGTTGTACACATATACGCATGCACGTACTTTATTCTCTTTAGGGCAATACTAAAATGAGTTGACATTCAAGGGTAGCGCTTAGAGAGTGAATTGTGTAGCAAGAAGTAAACCTGGGATTAAAAACTATGAATAATACATAATGCTGAGAAACTATGCCTTGGTAATGGGCCACTGACAACCAATGTGCCCTTCTGTTATATTTTTATATGAAGAATTAATCACTTACAATTCCAGAAGTCCAAGAAAGCTAATGTGATAGTTATATAAAATGGAACTTTTCCTAACCAATATTACTAAGTAAATCCTCATGGTTGTAAAAACAGGTAAAATGTATTATTTCTATAATCTATCCATTTTTTAATGATAATTATTTCCCTCATCTAATAGTTTAACTTACTAGCTTGACATTGCTCTTCATTCATTTTATGCTCTATTTTAGAGATTCTAGCACTTCTCTCATTTGGGAAAAAATTGAAGAGCCATCCATAGATTGTCATGAGTTTGAAGAACTATTTTCTAAAACTGCTGTAAAGGAGAGGAAGAAACCTATTTCTGATACCATAACAAAGACCAAGACTAAACAAGTGAGTACTCTTTTTTTTTCTTTCCAGTCCCTTTTGTTGGACGTTATTTCTGGTACAAACATATGGACTTTATTAGAAAAGATATGCTTGCTTTTGAAATGCTCCCTGGACTGTAAACTCCAACATAGATCTAAAGCAGAGAGAAAAGGGTGAAAATGTTGAAGGTATAGTTAAATAAGAACATCTCAGAATAGGGAACAAATAGGCTTCCAAATCTCTAATGCCTCTTTAGTAGAATATCCTTCTGCCAAGCATCTAAAATAGCCAAGCATCTAAAAAAATAAGTGATACTTTTTTTAGGTGATGTTTGGTCCAAACAATGTTTCTGTTGAGCACTAGTTCATAAAATGACATACTTTAGCAGTAAGGGGGTCAGTTATCAAGGCAACCTTTGCCATGCTGAAGGCACAGGTAATCATGTTATTATTGATAAACAGTCAGTACCTGTGCTTAGTGGACATAGGTAGTTAGCACGTGAATTAGGACTTTGCAGTGTTGGTGACCTACACTGACTGGCACTTGAAAAGTATAGGATCAGTTATATAGAAAGGGACAGAAATTAATTTCAAAGTGAAAACAAAAGAAAATGAAGTTAGATGAAAAAACTGAATTTAGGTTTGGTTGTTTTGCTTTTTTGGTTGTTTTTATTTTTATAAAATTAAGATTTTATAGTAAGCTATAGAATAAAATTTGACTGAGCATTCCCTGTGGCCATCAATACGTTAAGGTTTTAATGGATAGAGAAACTATTCATATTTCTTCTTATATTTCTTATTTATCTGATAACGGTTTTAGGTAGGTTGATACATGTCTTGTGCTTGGAGCTAGGAAGACTTGGATTCAAATTTAGCCATTTATTTATTATTATTTTATTATATTATTATTTGTATTTATTATTATTATTATTATTATTATTATTATTTATTAGCTATGTGAATCTCTTAGTGTTTGTGTGTCTCAGGCTTATAAGTTTGGGATTTTTCTATCAATCAAGGGATTTTCTACATGGGGAGTGCAAACATCGTATTTAGCTTCACCCTCATTTAGCCACAAGGGATGCCTAAACATGGTTATTTTCCTGGGATTCTCAGCAGACTGATATTCTAACGTGTTACTACAATATGCAATACTCCCCAGATGGGAATCTTCAGGTTGTTTTCTTTCTGTTTAAAATGACTCTATATATTTCTTCCTTTAGAGATTTCTTGGCATTCTCCTTTAGATCCGTATTGCCTACAATTAAATGTAAATAAATAGCTTTTCCTGAAAATTCATATGGAAGCTAAGAATTCATGAATGCACTCTTTCGTGTGTCTAAAAAAAAGGATTTTTTAAAATCCTTCTTTTATAGACTAATAAAGGGCAGTCAACAGTGACATCTGAATGATATCCATTGTATTTATTAATTTTATTGTTGTTGTTAAATTATTTCAGTTGTGTCTGACTCTTGGTGATCCCATTTGGGGTTTTCTTGGCAATGATACTGGAGCAGTTTGCATTTCCTTTTCCAGTTTATTTTATAGATGAGGAAAGTGAGGCAAACAAGATTAATAAGTGGCTTTCCCGGAGTCAAACAGCTAATAAGTGTCTGAGGCCAGATTCGAATTCACGAAGAGGAGTCTTCCTGCCTCAAGGCCCAGCATTCCATCCACTGGGCCACCTAACTGCCCATTGACTTTAGACTGTATTTGAAGTGGGCCAGTGTTCAATTTTACTTAAATATGCTATATGATGAATGTTGCCAAGAGTCGAATTTAGATTGGCTGGCCTTAGATTTCCCCACTGTCCATCAGTCAGCGGTGTACTTCTTTTGAGTATCATTTGTGTGTGCAAGTCATCATTCAAAGCTTTATGACAGGTTACAGAGCTCTGATGGCAGGCAGTGTCCTCCTCCTCTGTCACCGACACCTAATTACACAGACTGTGGAGAAGAGACATTCTTTTAGATATCATTAACATTTGTATCAATTCAGACTCATTTACACTATAGCAACTTCAAGTCTTGTCTCTAAACTCCCTGTATCTTGACTTGTATCCATAGTTGCCAAGCAGTTGACTGACTGAGGTCCTGATGCTGAGCTCTGTGTTTCAAGTCTGGTTTTAGAGTGGCATAGAAATTGTTCTCTTCTAAACCTGTAGGAATTCCAGAGACAGAGGCCTGCTCTTAAGTGAAATATTATTGAAGAAGGCTGAGTTTGTTTAACTTCATCATTTAGAAGAACAATCCATCCATTCAATGCCTACAAGGCAGTATGATAACTTGTTTAAGGAAAGTATATTCCTAGAGTGCTTACAAGTTTTCTTTATGTGGCAGATGTATACTGATTGTGTGTACACGTTTTGGTACCTCATGATTCACTTCAAGTAAAATTAATAATCTTAAATGCAGTGGCATGTGTTTATGGAGATAATTCAAAGTAATTCTACTTGTATACAGTGGAAGCTGGAAGTTCTGTTTTTCTTTAAATATTTAAAAATAGCCAAATAATTTTTCTGTGATCTGTCTCCTTCCTGAAAGTAAGTCTGTGGTCTGGATGCACTGGTATTTAATGAGGTGCCTGTGCTGTATTACTTTCACAGTGCAAACATTTTTGGTGTGATAACATGAAATTCTTAAGCTTGGTAAATTTTGCCTTTTGGTGTATTGGGAAGGCAGATTGTTTTCTGGATGCTCAAATCAACAATAATTATAACATCTTGCATTTTTAAATCATTGTTGCAAGACAGGGAAAAGCACTTTAATTTTTATAATGGTAAGAGTACAATTTGATTAGTTTAGATTTATTTTTCAAAATAAGGTTCTTTGATTCTGTCATGTCAAAGATTTACTGAAAAACAAACTTTTAGGGAATATATTTGGGTACTAGTCCACATTCACCCTATACTTTCTATAGCTATATCTATATAAAAATAATTGATATTAAGAGTGGTGACCATGAGGTGCTATGTGAAAGTTTTAGTCATTAAAATTATGTTTAGCCTCCTATAGTTATGAGAGTTGTAAAGTAGGTAAAGTAGAGTTTTAGAAAGATGGACAATACCAAAGTCAGAAACAAAAACAATGAGTTTTTGGTTAATCCCAATTAATACAAAGGGAAAAAAAATAATTGGAAAAAAGGGGCAACAATTGAGACAATTCCCACCCTGACCCATTTATTTATTTTTGACGGTTTGGCAGTTAATTTAAAATTTTATATTATTTTATTTTCCCCAGTTACATGTTAAAACAATTTTTAACAATTTGTTGTGTTTTTTTTATTTCGATTGCCCAGTTCTATTCTTCTTTCCCTCCCTCCCCTCCCCCTCCCTGAGATGGTAAGCAATCTGATACAGGTTACGCTTGTACAATCATGTAAAACATTTCCATATTAGTCATTTTGTACAGGAAGACTCATAAAAAATGAAAGAAAGATAAGGAAGGAAGGAAGGAAGGAAGGAAGGAAGGAAGGAAGGAAGGAAGGAAGGAAGGAAGGAAGGAAGGAAGGAAGGAAGGAAGGAAGGAAGGAAGGAAGGAAGAATAGATGGATGTTTAAGTTTGTATTCAGGCAATATCAGTTCTTTCTCTGGAGGTGAAGTATTTCATCATGAGTGTTTTGTGATTGTCTTGGATCATTGTATTGCTGAGAATAGCTAAGTCATTCACAGTTCTTCAATGTACAATATTACTGTTACTGTGCACGTTGTTCTCCTGGTTCTACTCACTCACTTTGCATCAGTTCATGTAAGCCTTTCCAGTTTTTTCTGAAATCATCCTGTTTGTCATTTCTTATAGCACAATATTATTCCATCACAATCATATGCCACAACTTGTGCAGCCATTCCTTGAGTGATGGTCATCCCCTCAATTTCCAATTCTTAGCCACCTGTGGAGGATATCACCATCCTTCTAGTCACTTGTCTTCCTCAGCTTCTCACTTTCTTTCATCTCCCATATCCACTGAGTTTCCAAATGTTCATCTTTCTAACTATATAAAATCTCTCCTATAAGTTTCCTTCTTTATCCTCACTGGGCTATCACTGATTCAAGCCCTCATCACCGCTTGCTTGGATTATTGTGATAGCCTTCTGCTTGTTCTTCCTGCCTCAAGAAACTACTCTCTCCCACGAATACTCTATACAGCCTCCAAACAAATTTTCTTAAAGCATAGGTATCCGTGTCATTTCCCTACTCATTAAATTCTAGTGCCTCCTATTGATTCTAGATACAATATTATTTCATCTTTATTTCAATTTTTAAAGTTCTTTCTTGTACATTTTGTAATACTATTATAATAATTTTATTGTTTATAAATTATCATTTTATAATATAAATATAATAATATCTTCATCAAATTTATAAATACAAAAATGTATACATATTGGGGCTATGTGCCCAAACATTTTTACTGATGGAATACATATTTGCAAATATTTGGAGAATAATACCCTAGGCTCTCACATGCTGTGGGGTAGACTAGCTATAAAACATGTCCATTAACATATGTCTTGTACAGAACTCAGAATAGACAATCAGCAGCATCCAGAATTCTTCTTCCAGTTGTGGGAGAAGAGGCTGGACTACCTTTGGGAATTTGTGCAGAGTTTTTGATGACTGCAAGCTTCTCACTAAAAATATAAGTATATCTTTTAAAAAAAAAACCAATATTCTTCTATAGCTACAAGTCCTAAAATACTAAATTCTCCAAAGAATTAAAACTGAGTCTTAATCAAAGAGGAATGGAGAAACATCCACAGGGCACAAATAATAAATTAAATGAGAAAATTTGAATGGGAGAAGTGTCATAATCAGTGAAATGTATGAGTGGAAAAGAATGTAGTCCAGGGATGTGAGAGGGAAGCATGATAACCAGCCATCAAACAAAATAAAAATGAAAATGATGATAATGATAATTAGTATTCATGTAGCTTTTTAAGTTTTGCAAAGAACTTTATGAATGTTACTTCATTTATTCTTTACACAAACCCTGTAAGATTGTTATTAATCATCGCTCTCATTTTCT